TTAGATTAGGACAGTTCTCCAATTATCGAAGTGAAAATATTTATAAACAATAAGTTTGGGAGATAACATTTTTCCAAATCAATGTTATCGAAATGGGTTTAGAGCTCCGTCTCAGGTTTACAGGCTTATTCGTGTTCACTCTGCTAGCCATCACTCCAAAGTTGCTTTACTTCGAAAGATTGTTGAATTAAGCAAGATTCCACGGATATGAAAGCAAAGGATGAAAATTCTTATGTACTCTACTTTAACAGGCTTAAAGATCTGGGTAGAATTAGTAAGTGAAAAAAGATATGTAGGGAAATACGATCAGATAAATGTAGATTCAAAAGAGCCAAAGTCCCATGGCTAAGGAAAATGACAAGGTGTTCAATTTTGGAAGTGATAAGCCACCTTCTTGGAAAAAAAAAGTCGTGTAATGACAAATGAAAGTAAAACAAACTACAACTACGCATCATAAGTGGTTCCAACATCGACGACCTAACCTTTGTTCACAACAGACAAATCTTTGGAAGCAACTTTGGAGTTGGAGGGAGAATTCACTTCAGGCTTTTCCTCGGAGTCAGCGCTAGATCCAGCACCCTCAAAAGCCTCTAACTCTACGATTTCGTCTGACAGGCTCAGAGGAATTGGGAAATTGGCTGTTTTGATCTCCGCCATCTTGTAATAAGAGTCCCAACTGTTACAATGGTCCTATCCAACAAAATAGGTGACATAACCTCAGTTATAATGCTTGACAATACTTCAGCTTAGAAGCTTCTTCAAAAGTTGCGTAAATATTGGGTAACTCCACCTCATTCTTGTCCATGGCTAGTTGAAGAGCTTCGGTATGAGCATCCTCATTCAGCTCTGCTACTCACTAAAATCATTCTAATTTTGACTGAAAGATGGAGCGATTCATGTCACACACACTATGCTCTGCTTTACCTTTAGCCATCAACGCATGTTTCAGCTCCACGTTAACCTGGCCACTATCGCCTTAAGGTCATCAACCTAGTTTTCTTCACCACACAGTTTGTCCATTAGATTGTCCTGCTTGACCACCCATGAATGCTCTACCACCTACTTAACCGCCAACACCTTTTCCAGCTCTGCATTCCTCTCCTGCAACAGTCTATCAACTTAGATTTTGCATCCATGTTTGTTCTTATAGGCAACCTCCAACATGTAAATCTTCTCAACTTGACTCAAGAGCGCTACCTCAGTCCACACATTAGCCTGTTTAATAAGTCTATGAGAATGAGGCAAGGATAGAAGAAACCAACACAAATTAAGTAAAGAACGGAGGATTTACTGCTTACCAACTCTAGTGACAATCCTTAATCAGGTTATCAAAGTGTGAACTTGCCTCTTTAAAGTCAAAATGAGCGATGGTTATAAGGATCAACACTTGGGCATGTTCCACGTTGTGAAGGCAACTGGAATTGGTTGAAAGCGCCTACCGATTCTAAGCCGATCTGAGAATTAGATAAGGTTGAACTCCAATTGTTGTTGAGATGAAAAGCTAGCTCATTAGACAAACACCGGATAAGGTTTTACCAAACTACCAACCAACTCGTTTACTCGAATGGTTGTAGAAAGTGGGGCAGGGTGATGTTGAGAAATTATCATCTCACTTAAAGAAGTAGTGGATGCATAATGTTGTTACTGCTCTTGGTGGTGTTGTTATCTTTCCCATTGTTGATGTTCTTGTTGTTAATATTCATGTTACTGCTGCTCTTGCTGTTGTTTTGCTGCTTAGTAGATCAAACCTTCAAGAACGTTGATGAAGTTTTTTCTTTAGCTACATAACTCTCTATTCTTCTTCCCTGGTCCCTGAAGTATTGAGACCTATTGTTGATCCACCTTGAGAAGCTTTAGCTTGAAAGAAGTAGGAGCTTAATCCATTTCATCAATTTTCTCTTGTGGGGTGGAAAAGCTCATTTCACTTGCAGACTTCTTCTTAACCGTCATGTCCTTACCCGACTTCTTCATAGCGTCTTCAAACAGTTCATTCTTCTTTTTCTCTGATCTAGGCACCTCTAAAACTTCGATCGAGAAGATTCTTTCTTAGTATCTTTCACTTCGATCTAGAGCGGCTTCTTTTAGGCACCTCTGGAACTCCAATCTAGCTGACTCCTTTCTTAGCGTATTTCACTTCGATCTAGAAATTCTTCTTCTTTTTCTTTGATCTAGGCACCTCTAGAACTCCAATTGAGCAGACTACCTTCTTAGCATCTTTCACTTCGACCTAGAGCGGCACAGGGACATGATAGTTACAACGTTTGACAATAACATCCCTACCATGCTTCCTAACCAGTTCAGGAGCAATGAGGCACTTCTAGTTGCAATGTGCTATAGGAATAACATTGAAGGATTTGTCAATCAGCTCTAATCGACATAACCCGATGTTCCCCACGTCATTACCACACTGAAGATCGAAAAATTGAGCATTCTGGACCCAAACCCCAAAGATGTGACATTTCTAGTTGTTGTAGATTGCTAGGAGATCCTTGTAACAGTCTTTTTCGTGCCAGGGAAAATATGTGATGTACACCCCCATGCAAACTGGATCAATATTGGAAGAAGTAATACGTCACTGAACTCTTCCACAAGGTGCACAACATGCAAAATTCCTAGATCCCAAGGTTTGCTTCGTACCATCCATTATGTTATTCAAAGCATGTGATGATATAGAATGAGGAGGAGTGACGTTGTACAGAGCAACATTGTAGCTTACCAAGATCTCTTTCAAAAGAGCAAATGGCGGAAATTTTAATCCTAAGTTTAGGTAGCAGGGATGGATTTTGGTACACGGGGGCTCTGGATCTGAAGATTCAGGCAAAGGTGCTTGAATATTGTGGCCGCCTTTTAACCAGACCTCGCAGTCAATCAGCAAATCTTTGTGCTAGCGCACGAAAACTTCTCGTTCCCCTTTATGACGCATCCTGACCAACAAAGGCATAGTTGGCAGCAAGGTAGGAAAGACAACGGAAGAAGAGATTCTTGAATTGAAGGAGTTGAGAAAAGAATTTGGAGATGGAAGTTTTAGACAAATGAAAGCAAAGGCTTTGTGGAAATTTCAAAAAAAGAGTTGAAGGCTTTAATGCTTTGAAGTGTGAAGAAAATAAAGAAGAAATTTGAAGATATTTATAGAAGATATTTCAGAGTCATCTTACCGTTGAATTTGGACCATCAATAGGTAATCAAATCACTTAATATGTTTAAGTATTAAACTTTAGGCTAAATTTTTTTTGTGGTTTGTGGTGACGTCGTACTTCTAATGTGACCCTCGTCATGAAAATGTTATTAGTTAAACCCTCGTAATGAGGCCAATTAGCAATTTGTGAGGCAACAACTTCGGGACAATGGTCCTCTCCTCCAAACAAATTGTTTTTACATTCAAATCTTCAACTAGCTTGGAAGAGAGGACCTAGCATCTAGGAAATTTTGTAGGCAACAAAGAAGCAAGCATCACTGAATCAAATGTTATGGCCTTCTTAGTTTAATTAAAAGGATGATTTTAACCCCACAAGTGAGGTTTATGTACTTTGTTTAACGAAAGACTAATGAAATTTAGGTTGGATCTCAATTGCTAACAACTCACATTATTCTAAAAATCCTCGCCTAGTGCCACCTAGCCACCTAGATGCTAGGCGGTTGCCAGGCGTTTGAAAATTAAGAAAGGATTCATAGACTTGCTCGGCGCTTGCTTAGCCCTTTGAAACCCATTTAGGCACTCGCCTAAGTCGCAACTCTCACTTAGACAAAAATAGATAACTTTCATTTGGTTTTTTTTTTCAATAAACTGTAAGACACTTTATATACTTAAATCTGCCTAGCCACTAGGTCCTAACCTACCACCCGACTAATGCCTATCGTCTTTTAAAACTTTGACGATGCATACTATGAAAATTTAGTTAACAACTTTTTCACTACGAGAGTCTCATAGAAAATGTAGTGTCACCACATGATTCACAAAAAAATAAAAATAAATAAAAAAAAAGGGTCTAAATTTTAAACTTTGACTATTTGTAACATTTGGCTAATGCTAACTAGATTTTTAAATCAAATTTTGTAAACCAAATGATGTGGTTGTTGACGATTGAATTATTACTTAAATGTTGATTAAGGTGCTCATTTCCTATTAATGACACATTATTCAGTTAAAATTTTTGCTTTAGAAATTTTAGCCAACCTAACATTATCCATAACGTTTTGGATTCATTTACAATTGTCCAGTAAGTACACTAGTCGTATTGGGTTGTAGGATGCATTAGTGAAGACATAAATTGTCATTCAATGGACTAAATTAGTGTTATGCGGACAGACTCAGACTATTATCACAAAATGTTCATATTGGCCGAGTTCCAGAGACAGTCCGGTGGTCCCAATTCTTATTGAAGCATGTCTCATATTGAAAATCTTGTGAAGTTAAATCTCCTTGCATAGAGTGATTTCACTACAAATTATACGAATGCCTTTTTGTAGCAACAACATACACTTATTGGATTGTCTGTAATTAAGTTAATTACAATATAAGTACATTATTAATGGGTCTCTGACCGTCTCTAAAATTCTAGCAAAATTACCTTAATACAGCACCATGAGTGGTTTGGTGCCCAATTTCTTGTACATGAACCTTAGGATGGAAGTCCAAACTGGACGACTGACCCCATCGAAGCTTCTATGGATATAATAAGGATTCTCAACTTTATTTTTCAATTGAAATGCTCACGCCACCATCAAGAAGTCGTAAGGCACGTTTGGTGTGTCTGAAATAAAATTTAAAAAGTAATATATCCCCTTACATGTGTAACATGCAGGAAGAAAACTCACACCCATAATTTTCGTCCAAAAAAAACTCACACCAATAATACTTTATAAATATGCATAACATTTTACTACCGTTACCACAAACACAACTCTCTATTTCCCAACCCATCTCTAGAAGCAAAATACAACTTTCAAAGAAAAGGGAGAAATATTGTTCATTTTCCATTTTTCGAAGTAAAGAAATTAAAATGGCTGAGAAAGTAGTAGCTGAGAAATACCACCAATTGGAACCAGCAACTGGCCACTCCGGAGGTGATCATGAAGCTTCAGCCACGATGCAATCCGAGGAGCTCAAACGCCAGAAGAGAATTAAGATGTACAAATACATTGGCATTTTCATCGTCTTTCAAATCGTAGTCATGAGCGTTTTTGGTATGACTGTGATGAAAGTTAAGTCCCCAAAAATCAGGTTGGGCAACATCTATGTCCAAAGTCTCAACTCCGTCCCGGCGGCACCTTCATTCGACATGAGCTTCGTAACCCAAATCAGAGTCAGGAACTTAAACTGGGGTACCTATAAGTTTAATGCCGGCATGGCCACGTTTATGTACCAAGGTGTGCCCGTTGGGCAAGTTGCTATTCCGAATAGCAAAGTTGGAATGCGGTCCACGAAAAAAATTGATGTTGTGGTGAGTGTGAATTCTGCAGCATTGCCGAGCAACTCCGCTCTTGGAAGTGAGCTGAGCAATGGGCTGCTGATGTTGAGCAGTCAAGCCAAGTTGAGTGGAAAGGTTACGTTGATGATGATCATGAAGAAAAACAAATCTGCTGAAATGGGCTGCTCTATGGTGTTTAATTTGGCAGCAAAGTCTGTCCAAAATTTGGATTGTAACTGAGAGAATATGGCCGCTATATCATGAGCCAACTTTATTTTTATGTTTCGAGATTTTATTTAGTTTTTACTTGCTTAATATTCACAAATTCCGTCATTACTTCTTGTTTGAAATTTTTTAAACTGTGTCCGCATTACCTTGCAATTTTTTGAATTGTGTCCACATTATTGAAGGAAATCCTAAATTCAAACCTCGCAAAATAAATAAAAGAAAGTGAAATAACATAGCTATAGTTTAAGTGGGAATGCTTGACCTTAATTAGAATTTGACATTGGGAAACCATAAAGGACCTGGACTTTTTTATTCTTGTAGTTGGTGGTACGAACTGGAGTTGATTATTCAGCTTTGAATATGACTTTTTATGGAGTTGCTTCAAAAGTGAAACTAAAGTGGCCAAAGCTTAAGGGGTAGAAATTAAGTTAATAATATGAGATAAGTTAATATTAAAGGGCTAGAAGTTAAAAATCATGACCTTCTAGTTTTCTTTTTCTCCTAAGATGAAAGTAATGGCATGTCAAAGAAAAAAAAATGAAAGTGATTAATTTAGGTGTCAATAATGCCAAAAAGGTTTTTATCACAAATGATTTCTGAGATTGACCAAACTCATCATTTTGATCATTCACTTAGAGGAAAACTTGTTGAAAATGAATTCCACATTTATGCACATACTGACTTTGTATGAGCTTATAAGTAAATTAAGTTACTCCTCATATTGTCAATTGTTTTATGGTGCAACTCCAACTTTTTTCTTAATATCATAGTAGATTGTCTCACGTGTGAAGCCCAACAGCCAAACCTGACATTTGTGTTGTGCTTTTCATATTCGTGTCGTTTTAGTAACATACCCAATATCTTAATAGGTCGTGTTATGTAACACTTGTTAAAATAAACGGGGAATATGACTCGAGCCGAAATCGAACCTTTAATATTAACAGGTAATACGATCCAACCAGTGACCTGTAAAGAAAATATATTTTTAATCAATAAATAATAAAATGAAAAACATGATTGTCGTTTACGTTTATGCTCCATTCTTCTTACCAAATTTCTCTTTTTTCAGATTTTCAGTTTTTGAAAACATGATCTTTTAGCAGATGTAGAAAGATAAACGGTTCGGATCATTAATATCACATTCAAATTATTATGATTAATGAAAATATTGCTCGGAGTTTATAAAGTCTCTAGAAAGTATACAACATTGACTCGTATTTCAGTTAACCATAAACATCAGAACGTGATATCAACAATCCGAACTGTTCATTTTTCTCCATTCGTTAAAAGATAATGTTTTCAAAAAAGAAGATTTGAAAAATGGAATCTGATTAGAAGAATAGAGTGTAAACGAAAATCAACGGTTTAATATAAATCAAGGGTTTATGGATTATGGTGTCAAAAATTCGTAGTTGAGCTATTCACGAAAGAGGTGAAGCTTGTCATCACAATTGATTGTATATTTTTTAATATTTTTCACATGTCTACATTGATTATTCTTAATTTTTCTTAATTTTGCACTAAAAAAATTATTCATGAGAGTTTGGAGGGTTTTAAAAATCTAAATGATGATATAACCATCGTATAAGTGTAGAGGATGTAATCACAAGCGTTTATATATTTTTTTTTTCACATTTTTCAGCTTGTACTTTAGTTATTATGAATTTTAATTTATTTGAACTCCCCCTAAAATGCTATTCGAGAGGGCTTTGTAGGGTTTTAAAAATTCAAATGACGTTGTACCCATCGTCAAAGCGTAGAGGATGCAAGCATGAGTGTTTGCATAATTTTTCACTTGTAAATAAATTATTATGAACTTTTTAATCAACCTTGGTATTTTTAAATTGCTTTAAACTTTTAATGTGCATCGGAATGTTAAATCTCACTTATATGGGAATAAGTACTATAGCTATTGTAGTAACTAGTAAGGTTTTTTTAATAGTTTAAAGTTATCAAACAAACTTTTTTCTTAACGGGTTACCTGCATGTAAACCCATTAAGAACTCATTAACGATGACCCGATAACAACTTGATTTATTATCATGTTGACCCGAAACTCGTTAATTTTGTGTTGTTTTTGTTGACCCTAAAAACTACCAAGCCTACTTGGCGCGCAGGCCGAGTAATTAATAAGCTAACTACGTTCTTCGGTTGTGTGCAGGGCATGCCAACTTGTCGGCCGAGCTCGGCCAGGGAGTAAAATGTGTTGATGTTGCGTTGAGCGCGCTGCTAACTTCTTAATCTTGCGACTGCAGCTGAGGAAGGAACACATCTCGATCTTCGGGTTCTAGAGCCTAAAGGTAAGGCTGCTAGTCTTGCGAAGTTCACGGATCGTCGGCCCCAGGTTCGGTCACGATGATTATATTCGTAAAAGCATAAGAACAGCAAACTGGCACCAAACTATATAGACACAAGTACTCAAAAGAGATGTATGTCTTGATGGTGAATGTGGTTCGGCCGTCAGAATGTCGAACTCTAAAACTTACTTGTGAATATCCAGTCGTAAAACAACTCGACGTTCAATGTGCCGAGCCTAGTAATCTGTAACACCTCACTTCGTTGAGAAGGCTAGTAAGAAGAGCTCTACCAATAAGGACTCGAAAATCCTTCTTGACCGAGACTTGGATAGATAACCGGTCGGCCTCGACGCAGTGCTGTTTATTCAAACTGAAGGTGCTCCGTGGTCGGCTGATTCTACGGCAATAGTGCTGTTTATCCAAACTGAAGATGCCACCAGTTGCCTTCACAATGTTGTTTATCCAAACTGAATATGTGTCAGCAAGAAAAAGAAATAAAAATCTTAAGGTTATTGAGAGGTTTCGCGTAGAGCGAGAGTTTACGCTGGGCAGTTTGTGTGTTGAATTGGAGAGGCCCTTCAATGTTGCCTGCAACTCTATATTTATAGTGGTTGTAAACCCATTGGATGACGTGCTTTTTCCAACCAAAACTTCGTCTCCCAAGTTGTATGCGCAGACGCATCCATGCAATTCTGTAAAGAATTGCAATTCAATTATAATTCTTCCCTCAACCCATCATCTGGTCGCTCATCTCCTCCAACGCACGCATAATATTTCATGACGAGGCCACGTGCTTGGTTGATGAGATGTATTCTATCTCAAATGGAAATCTAGGTTGATAACAAGGAGCCACGTGGGCTTCTTTTTGCCTTAGATGTTGCATGCATGCCTATCTCCATGCAATCTTCATTAATTCAAATGGAAAATCACAAACCAATTCAATTTGATTGTGAATCAATCCAATCATCACATGCTGCATGCTTCTTAAATCAGATCTAATTAGTTAAATCCCTTATCCAAGCAAAAAAGGCATGACTTTGTAGACTTTCACAACTCTCGCACCATGTTAATCTCATTTAATGCATCCTGATCTCCTCAAACTCAAAAGATCTCTCTCAAGATAATTACCATGATTAAAATTAATAGTAATATCAAGAAAAATCTGTTTAGTTTTGGAATCATCTAATGGTTTCAATGCAATGGGCCGATAGTGTAGAATTGGGTCCAAACACGTTTTCATGTCATGTTAACAGGTTGTATAAGAAATTATCAGATCTATTAACAGCAACATGTGTTGCACGTTAACCCATTTGTGTTGTCTAAGTATTAAGCTTAAAAATTCATCATACATGAAAAGACAGGTTGAGAAACATATTATTCTCAATATCCCCAATTTTACATTTGCACCATACCCATTTTATTCTCAATATCTTGAGAAACATATTAACTCGATTGATTATTACATAAGCCCCTAAACCCTCGGCCATGTTTGATTAGTCGAGTCTTCAACAACGTTCACTCTTCAAGTACCGAATATTTCTTGCTTGTATTTGGGGACAACAATGTCAATTAAATTTTTTTTTTTTTTAAATGAAACCCCAAATAGTATATATCAAACCATGTTCTCACCCCAAATAGTATTATCACAAACAATGTCAATTAAATTTAAAAAAACAAACCCCAACGAAAAATCGAAGCTTCGATTGATAAGCAAAATGAAGGTTCCTCTTGATATTTAATTTGTTCCATCTGATAGCAAAACCCTAAAAGGTCCTCACCAAAGTCATCGATCATCTAGAAGTCAAGAACCTTTGTCTTTGGACGCGTTTGGTGTCCGCAATAAAATATTAAAAGAATTTACAATTCCTTCCCCGAACTTACTTGTTCTGGGAAAGCACTCCACCACATAACTTATTAAAAATAGTCCAAACTCCAAAACCTATATATAATACACATCTCTTCCTCCATTTCCACGAACAACTTTCTCCTTTTTCAAGTTTTTAAGTTTCATCCAAGGAAACAAACCCACAAAAAAAAAAACCACAAAAACTTTCTTCCCATTTTCATATCACAAAAGAAAAGGATACTAATATGGCTGAGAAAACCAACCAGGGCTATCCCTTGGCACCAGCAAATGGTTACACAAGAAGTGATGCGGAGTCTTTGCAATCAGCCGATGAGCTGAAACGCAAGAAGAGAATCAAGTTGGCCATTTATATTGGTATTTTCATTGTGTTTCAGATCATGGTCATAACCGCGTTGAGTCTTACTGTTATGAAAGTTAAGACACCAAAGGTCAGGCTAGGTGACATCAACGTCCAAAACCTCAACTCTGTCCCAGCGACACCTTCGTTCGACACTAAATTCACAACTCAAATCAAAGTCAAGAACACAAATTTTGGTCAATACAAGTATGATGCTGCAATTATCACGTTTTTGTACCAAGGTGCGACTGTCGGGCAAGTTTCTATTCCCAAGGGCAAGGCTGGAATGCTTTCCACCAAAAACGTTGACGTCGAGGTGAGCTTGAGTTCAAGTGCATTGAGCAGTTCCAGTCTTGGCAGTGAATTGAGCAGCGGGGTATTGACACTCAACAGCGCGCTACGTTGACTGGAAAGGTTGAATTGATGTTTATCATGAAGAAGAAGAAGTCTTCCACCATGGACTGCACCATTGCATTTGATCTGTCATCCAAAACGCTCCAAAGTTTAAAAT